ATATATATATATACAGGGTCTACCAAAAGTGTGGAAACCCCTAAATATCTCGGAAAATATACGTTTTACAGAAAAGTGTTTCCAACAAAAGTTGTAGGGTTTAAGAAGATCTATATACTGATTCTATCAGTTTGACCTTGGACTGCGTCGTCAAGGTCAGGTCAAGGTCACATTGACTTTTTTAAATGACACCCCCTACATTTGATTGCATATTCTTATAGCTTAATTCAAGAGCTTTCCAAAACACTATAATAATGTTCATTTTTATTAAGTACTTTGCGAGTTATGAGGGTTGAAATAATTTCTTAATTTTACATAAACCATAAAATATCTAGTAAACCATTCATTTTTCGATTATCTTACCTTCATACTTTTATGTACAAATTAATGAGAGGAATCAATTGGTGTAAAGAAAACACATAGTTGTTTCTAAGAAAAAATATGTAATTTGCAATTAACAATTCCATATTTTTTCTTAAAAACAACTGTATGTTTTCTTTACACCAATTGATTCCTTTCATTATTTTGTACATAAAAGTATGAAGGTAAGATAATCGAAAAATGAATGGTTTACTAGATATTTTATGGTTTATGTAAAATTAAGAAATTATTTCAACCCTCATAACTCGCAAAGTACTTAATAAAAATGAACATTATTATAGTGTTTTGGAAAGCTCTTGAATTAAGCTATAAGAATATGCAATCAAATGTAGGGGGTGTCATTTAAAAAAGTCAATGTGACCTTGACCTGACCTTGACGACGCCATCCAAGGTCAAACTGATAGAATCAGTATATAGATCTTCTTAAACCTTACAACTTTTGTTGAAAACACTTTTCTGTAAAACGTATATTTTCCGAGATATTTAGGGGTTTCCACACTTTTGGTAGACCCTGTATATATATACAGTGACCGGCAAAAATAAAAAGCCATTTTCCTAGTTATACTGTTTTGCTTAATGAAAGAGTAAAAATATTAAAACAATGAGATTTTCATTGATGAAAGAAGAAGCATTTATTATTTATTTTAAAATTTTATGTTACAATCACATAAATTATTTTTTACTTTTCAGTTTTATTTATATTTCTTAAATATTGCTGTTTATTATATTGACAAAATAAAAAAGCCATTCAGATTTGTTCGATTTAATATATACAATATTTTGTTTGGTTGTCATGTCAACATGTTCGTGTTATTGCGCTCACTTCTCGTTGTTGTTAATCATTTTTGCAACATTGGCTTATCTCGATTATTACAAAAAATTCGCGGTCAAAAATGGGAGGAAGATCAATTTCCACACAAGTTCGAAACTTAATTGTGCGAGATATTCAAAAAGGTCTTTCCCAACGGAATATAGCCAAAAATTATGAAGTAAGTAGAGGAGCAGTAGAACAGATCAGAAGAAAATTTCAATCAACTGGATCGGTGGCAGATAGAATCGGAAGAGGTCGAAAACGAGCAACATCCAAGCGGGAGGATATGAAAATAATCCGTGAAGTTAAGAAAAATCCAAAGATTACTGTTAGAGAAATTCAGGAAAACATTTATCTTACTGTTTCTGACCGCACTGTACGTCGAAGACTCAATGAAGCAAATTTACACAGCCGGTTTGCACGTAAACGACCTTTCTTTAGCGTCACCAATAAGAAAAAACGTTTGCAATTTGCTCGGAAGTATGCAAATATGTCATTGGACTTCTGGAAAAATATTTTATGGACAGATGAAAGCAAATTCGAGTTATTTGGACAAAAGAAGCGGATTAGAGTCTGGAGAAAACACGGCGAAGAGCTTCAAGATCGTCATATTCAGAAAACTGTAAAGTATGGCGGAGGAAATATTTTAGTCTGGGGATGTTTCTCATGGGCAGGAGTGGGAAATCTTGTCAAAATTAACGGAATTATGACAGCAGATGTCTACATTGATATAATAAATGAAAATTTGGAGGAGTGTTTGTTGAAACTCGGACTAGAAGATAATTTCATTTTCCAACAAGATAATGACTCGAAACACACAGCAAAGAAAAGTCAAGCTTTTTTTCGTTCCTGCCGAATTAAACAACTTGAATGGCCTCCGCAATCTCCAGATTTAAACCCTATCGAAAATTTCTGGGCAATTTTGGATAATAGGATTAATAAAAGCGGAGTAACTAACAAGAATTCTTATTTTGAAGCATTACAACTAGCCTGGGAGAATTTGGATCCACAACATTTAAAAAATTTAATTGAAAGTATACCAAAAAGACTGCAAAAAGTAATTGAGGCTAAAGGAAATCATATTAATTATTAATTAAAATAATATTGTTGTTTTTTTAAATCGTAATACTATGTTACCTTAACTGGCTTTTTTATTTTGTCACTCTTAAATAAATGATTATATAGAAATAAATACAGTATTAAATAAAAAATGATTTCTTTTTAATTAAAAACATTAAATTACTTAATAAATTTTCAGTTTTAGTTATAAAAAACTTTATAATGAATTTTTTTTACCTTTTAGCATCAAATCAGTTTTATAGTTAAGGTGGCTTTTTATTTTTGCCGGTCACTGTATATATTTTTTTTTTTTTTGCTCCAATATGTATATCTTAATATGGAGAATAGCTGTAAATTGATAAATAATTATTTTATATATTTAAATATCTCAAATTTATTAATTTTTAGAATCTTTTTGCATTACTGTATAAAAAATAATTTTTTTCATATCTTTTCAATAACTTTTTAATTAGTTTTACACAAGAATAGAATTTTACAATCTCAATATATACTTTTAGAGTATTCTGCATATACATATACTTAAAAGAATATAGATAAAGATACTAATATTAAATGCAAAATAATATATACAACGATGATGATGACATAAAGAGATAATTTAATAACGTAGGAAACTATAGAAACATGGAAACTATAGTTAGACATTGTAATACGTCCTTACATCTTGCATTCAAGATTTGAATCTTATATAAGTAAAAAAATTTAATTGTTTAAAATTACAGTATAAAATTAGTATAATTGCATAGCATACAACTGTTATCATCATTGTGTATTACATAAATATATAATTTACTTATTTATTTATAAGAATGTTTGAAGATGGCTTTACTTATTTCTTTATTTCTATTTTTTTAAACATTTGACATATTTAAAATTACAATTTTCACGATAACTATTTTATTTTGTTTAATCTTACAAAGATAAGTATAATTGCAACATGATGATTTATAAAACCAGAGACTATTATAACTAAAATTATTCGATCATTAATTAGCGATTTGTACTACATTATATATTTATAATGATATCGATAAATAAGAGTAATACATTTTTTTTCATTGATGCATCTTTTAGAATAAAACATGCTAAAGTTGTGATGTTATTAGATGTCTACAGGATATAATTTATACAAATATATGAATATTTTTGCGATATTTAAGATTTAAAAAAAATAAACAAGAAACAGACATACGTAAACAAATAATAGTTAACTAACTCCTTCAAATCATAAAAATAATTTTGTACAATAATATATATAATAAACAATATATTGAATAATATATAGGGTTTCGTAAATAAAATTTCAGGAATGGATTCTTTTTGTTTAAAGAAGAAAAAAAAATTATATCAATATATCCGAGTACGGGAATAATTAGTTTCTGAGTTATTAAAGTTTTTGTAACACAATCATCGTCTTAGAGGAAATGTTTAATATGTCCACCTCCTGTTTCAATACAAACCTCATCTCTCGTCTCGTTGAGTTCCGAACACGCTTCCAAAAAATTCCTGGTGTGGTGCATATCGTCTAACAAGCTGTCACAATTTGCTCATGGAGAGTTTCTACATCATCCACTGCAACAAATACACTAAGGACTTTGCATAACTCTATAGGAAGAAGTCCAACGTTTAAATCTGATGAGTGTACAGGCCAAGCAATTGGTCTACTTCCATTTATTCACCATCTATCCAGGAAACAAGTCTCTAAGATGATGTAACAAAAATTGTGTTACAAAAGCCTTAATAACTCAGAAATTATATTATTTCCAAGCCATGTTGATATAACTTTTTTTTCTTCTCTAAGCATTAGGAATCCATTTTCAAGTTTTGCCCACCATTTATGAAACTCTGTATATTATACATATCCATATCCATATATATATATATATATATGTGTGTGTGTGTGTGTGTGTGTGTGTGTGCGCGCGCGCGCGCGCGCGCGCGCGCGCGTGTGTGTGTGTGTGTGTATGTGTGTGATAAATTACACAAAAATGGGTGTCTGCATAAATGAATATCAATATATAACATCAATTTACAATTAATTATATTAATATATGACTATATCTATAAATTTATATATAATACTTGAAACAAATATGAAACACACAATATATAATAACATACTTGATTCACACAATGCATATGTTATATACATACATTAAATACAGATGGCTTTTGATTATATAAAACAAATGTATTGATTGTTAAAATATATCAATAATTTATATATTACTTGAGTTATTTATTGTAATACACACGCGCGCGCGCAACACATACGTACATATATTAATGTGTGTGTGTATGATAATAAAAAAGTAATAATCTAGTTAAGAATAAAAATAACAGTATATTATTTTAATTGAATTAAAAAATATATATATATATATATCTGTAGCTGTTAGATTCTCAATTAGATTATTACTTTTATATTAGCATTGATATAGTTCCTCAGACTACATATGTAATAAAAATAATTTTAACCTTAATGTAAATTAATATCACTTATTATATCTTTATATTAAGAAGGAAATTTTTTGCCTTTAAAGTAACTTTAATAGTACTTGACTAATTTAAAAAAATATGCATGCTAATTCATTTCCATATAAAAGCCCAAAATAGCTTTTGTATAAAAAACTTATAATTACACAAGTATTCTTTTATATTCACACAATATTTCTGTACACTTATATAAAAAATTATACATATTGTATATATAAAATTATGAAATTATTTTATTAATAAACATACATATCCCTATTCATTCATGTTTGACTCTACACAATGCAATATATGATTTTTTGCTGGACAAATCATGCCATCCTACTGGACCTCTCTCACAATCAGCACAAGCTAGGTACTTGATATTACCTACTGTGTGTGACACACCAATATTTTCAAAAGTATACATATCTTCTACTAACCAATAATTCAAAATAGCTTCCGACTGATTTCCTTTACCCTCTCCTTTGCTATGAATATAAGGTAATGCAAACTGCAAAAGATTTGTACATTATTATTTATTCATCTAATTACATATTTATCTATTTATGGTAAATTTTTACAAATAAATGTTTTGTAAAGGTAAAAAATTGTACATGGTATCATGTACAATAATCAAAATGCAATTATTAGGTACAAATGATCTGCAAAATATAAAATATACAAGTGATTTTTAATTAACAATATTGAAACAAAACATACATCGATGATTAAACTAATGTTATATAAAGAAAAACCGACCAGTAGAGTCAGTGTGTGATTTTTGCAACGTTTTGCAATTGAAGTGTTGCAATACTCATTGCATACACACAATACTAACCTCCATATTTATTAGACTAGCGGTCCCGGCATTAAGCATTTTTGAAGGGCAAAATGTGCAGTAGATTTTGGTTTTATTCTTGCCCTCCGCGTCTTTTTTCGTTTCTATAGTAGTTTCAGTAATATTTGTTGACATCGTTTAAAATAAATCTCGAATCGAATAAACGATCTAAAATCTGGAACAAAGATGTCAGTTTCGGATTTCGTCCGTTGTCAGAACGTAGTTCTTGATTTGTTCCTTATTGCTGAACTTTCTGCGCTAGCGTATTCTGGGAGTGTCCCTCTTGAGCACAGCCAATTATATCGAACTGTGCCTAGGGTAGTCAGCAACGATTGACCAATCAGAGAGTACTATTTTGAATTGGCCAATTGGCGACGTGGTCAATCGTGGTGTCACCGGTGTACACTAGCAGGAGTACTCGGCAGTTTAAAAAGTAATAAAAAAGTAGTATAAAAAATAAAATTTTAATTCTCAAATTAATTACATATCTCATTTTATAAATTAAATTTAATTACCTTCATCATTTAATTTAATATTAATTTAATTATATATTTGTTACATGAAATATAATTACGATATAACATGTTACACACACATTACACGTCATATTTATTTGAAGAAAATTAACCGATAATATTTATATAGCTGCAATATTCAATTTTATTGCATTTGTATGTATATAAATATATGTGCGTTTAAGGATCGAATCAATTATTAAGAATTTTCATAGATAATTATTTATTATACATTAATTATATATTTATTAGACGTTACTATTCTATTTAAACAATAAACAGCTGCAGATCCTGTTCAATTCCTACTGTCAATCTATCGGTAGATTATGTCGACAGATTTTGCTCGATTTTTACCGTCAATTTGCTGTCTAATTATATTAACAGAATTTTGGCAGAACATAAGCTGAAATCAGATGCAGTTGATATTATTGTTTATATCAGTCGGCTAATATTTTTTGATCGTAGTATCTGCTGTCCATCTGTCAACATACTGTTAATATTTTGCTTACGGGGATATAGAAACTATTATTAAAATAATAATCACTTTAATATAATACAATCTAGTATGTAAAAGGTAATAAAAGAAGAATAATATTATGTGCATAAATGTTAAATAATCACATTTGCTTTTATACTTAAAACAATGTACAGGAAATTATTTTACATTAAGTGCTATTTGTATATGAAATTATATAGAAACAAAAGTATCTTCATACACAAATTTGGTCATATGTCATATAGATGTCATATAGATGTATATATCATGAAATGTACCAATATGTCTATAAATTTGTATGTAAGGTATTCCTATTTTTCCTGCGTTCACACATACATATATAAAAATATTATAAATATATTATAAATTACTTACAACCAATTATGTATTTAAGTACAAATATAAACCAAATATAAATGTAGAAAAAGCTTGTTTTTATCATTTTAAGTTTACTACATCTAACGTTTAATATCAACATCTATAATCAATTAAATTAAAATAATTTCTAAGATATACTGAAAATTTTGCACCTTATTAACTGTTAAGTACATGAAAGAAGACTTGTTAACCTTATCTTTCTACAGTATGTATTGTACGTATTCTTTCCATCAAAGCCCGTGTTATGTTACCAGGTATTAATTGTTGTTCTTTTATTAAATTCCTAAGAGCATTAGCAACCTGAAAGTGTTCAAATATTTTCAAATATTTAATATTATTAGGAAAATATATAATATATGTCATCAATTTTATAATTATTTACCTTTAGCTGCAACTCTTCAGGTGTAAGATTTCCATCATATGGAATAGGTTTACCCACATATGTTACCAATTTTACTGGAAAGCCACCATAAATTGGTACAAAAGGAAATTTTGTCCAAGTATATATCCTCAGCCACATTCTTCTTCCCCAACTTATTGTTCTAAATGCTTCTCTGATATTTCTTGTAAAGAAAGGAACTATACTCTAATAAAAAATAAGTATTATGAAATAGAATCTGTATAAAATAATACAAATTCTTATAGAAACATACCACTTTTGCATCTAATGCAACTTTTGCAAAACCCATTCTTTTTTTCCACATAAGTTCGTAATAAGAATCTCCAAATTGAGCTTCATATACTCCACCTGGAGAGATAGAGAGCATATTGCCCTCCTTTAAAATAGCAGAACATGTTTGAACTGTGCCAGGTATCACTTTCAGAACATCAGAAATGATGGACCATCCAGGAAATTTAAAGAGAAATCGATCTGCTACGGTATGGACTAGTTTTGAATTAAATAAAAATACTTTGGATGTGAAATAATACAAATCAATTGGAATAGCTCCATGGTAATATATAAACAATACTGGTTCATCCTGTGGAATATTCTCTAAACCCACAATTTCATATCCTGTTAAAAGATTACATTTTTTTAATAAACAAATTTTGTAACTAAGAAATTGTATAAATTGATTTATTACAAAATGTATAAAACTATAGTGTGTGTGTGTGTGTGTGTATAAAATCTTATATAAAATACTTCGTCAAACCAAAACATATACCATGCCAAATCCAACCATGTGCGTCCCAGAGAGCTGCGACCATATAACGTGCTGCATTTTGCCACGCAGTGCCATAAGCATTTCTTAGTCTTACTCTGAAAGAAATATTTTGTACTATGTAAATTAAGAAAATGTTTCGAACACAAAGAATTTATTAAAAGATATGGAACATTTTGCAAATTGATATACGTACAAAACTGTTTTTTTTCTTGCTTTTAAAAATACTAATCGCAATATTAATATTAATGTAATTGATAGACTGATAAATTTAATATATTTGTATACTGAATGCTAATTATATTATATAAGTAACGTGTATACATATTAATAAGTTATTTTATTTTTAAACCTGTGTAATTTGTAGATATATAATATTATGGAAGTTGAATACAACAACAGCGCAATCACAAGCGGGAGCAAAAATGTTATGAGAAGTGGCATTAAGAGCCATGTCAGCCACAAAGTAAAATCCACATCGATATATTCAACTGAAAAAATAATACCAAAAATAAATTCCTTAAAAGACCTTGGAGAGAGATTATAAATGTGCATTAAATATCTTTAAACAAGAAAGATTATTAAGCAATATATATTTTTTCAATATAAAAATTACAAATACATCACACTGTATGTAAATAAGCGTGAAACGAATCTTGCAAACAAATACATTGTTATAAGGTATAAAACAAAAATATTAGAATGACATTGCATTTAATAGCGAAAAAGATACTTGTATAAATACCATGTTTTTACCTATAGTCTCTTTTATTATTGGCCACACATTGTATACTATGGAAAACATGTTTGGATTTACATTTAAAAGAAGAAATGTATTATAAGACAAAGATAATTATGTAGCTAATAAAACGACCGAAAGTCTAATATTTCTATAGGAAATATCCATATAATCACTGTCGTTAACAGACTGACGATTTTATAGCCTTGTTTATATACATTCAGCATATTTAACATTCATTTATATTCTAAAATCATTAACATTCTCTGCGAAATTAATTATAATGCCCCGTTATGGTCGGATTAAAGTACATTCTGTATCGTATATTTGCATCGGCATTAATATCATCAATTAATATTCTATCGAGTCATTCAATAAAGTAGTGTGTGTGTGTGTGTGTGTGATCAATTTTCTCATAATACGTGTGTTTACGTCGCGTCATTGTTTCAAATTATTATTTATTTTTTATTTATTATTTTTTTACGGGTACATCGACGAATCAATTGCGAAATTCACAAACCGGAACAACGCTATAACAGCTGTCGGTTGCATTGCCATAATATGTAGTCTGTCAACATATAATATTATCAAATAGCACAATAGTACAATTAAAGCATATACTACTTTAACTATAGAGTATCTTTGACTATAGAAATATGCGGTCACAATATACCAGCAGTAGTGATAGCGATACTGTCTGAATCAAGAAAACGTTTAAAATGTTCCGAACATTCCTAGAATCTAAAAAAAGAAATCATTTCTCTCACATTTAATAACATGCAATGATTACTAATTCGATATCAGATTAATTCGAGATGATATATTAGAAAAAGGAGTAATCTGCTGATGTCTCCAATCTGAAAAAAGCAATGGTCTGAAGTTAGCAATGTCAATTCTCAAGTTCTTTTTATATTTTTTATTTTAGATGTATTTTTATTATGCGGCAAGGAAAATCGTTAACAAATAAAAGCGTGTCTATAGAATAAAAAATACAATTTTCTACTATTCACGCGCATCATAAATGTTGGTCAAAAAAAATCCAAAGCTATATATAAATTATATATTTTTTTCATCGATTATTTAATACTATACATCTACTAATCCGTTATTTGTGTTTGATTTTATATATATTTAATATTTTATATAAGCATGTAGAGATATAAATTACTAAAATGGTTTTTAGCTTTGATTTAAGAAACGACGATCTTACAAACGTTTTAATTAATCCTTACAAACGAATCACAAACGATTGAAAAAGAAAAGAATTCGAAAAGTCAAAATGGAGGTAAATTTCCGAAGCCCATTTTTAAATGGTCGGGTTTGATATCGCTTCAGGATAATTTACTAGACGTTACTGACCAATCACCATTATTTCGCAGAACATATAGTTACATTCTTCAGAAGAATGGCTGTGATTGGCCAATGGCGTCTAGTAACTATCCGGAGCGATCGAACTCGACCGTTCGAAAATGTCACTAGACTCATCTGTTTATTTATCTTTTCAACGCATGAATATATTTTCTTCTCGTTTCAACGTATAAATATTTTTAAGGATAAAAACATACGTTCTATTTATTCGCGACGCTCGTAAGGTCGTATTATATTTAGGTCGTCCTTATTCATTGAAATTTTAATCAAAACAGATGACGTTCGCGAGCGTTTATGAACGCATTAAAAATGAACAAATCTACGAATGATGTCAGAGAAGAGTGCATTCCCCAATTCTCATTGGTTGAGTCTGCTGAATACGTGACCAACTTTAGAGAGTAATGGGCATAATGCATAATATACAAATCAGTTACGCGCACAAGAGGAAGTGGTATGTTGTGTGTATGGTTTGTGTGCGTGTGTAATATACAGACGGGACGGATTTTGCAATTGCACGGTGAATCCGAAGCGTATCGTCTCGTTTTTTAATGCCATTTGGTGCGCGATAACTTTCGATTATGTGGCTTTGTTTGATGCTAACAGGAAGGAAATTCGATTGAACGATCCTCGATTGCTAGTGGTTCGCTCAGGGATTCACTCGCGCTGTTGCAAGGAAGGACGGTTCTTGGCGATCGTGAATGCAGTTCTGGCATATCCCACTCATATGACGGACGTTAACAGATTTAACATTTTAATCGTACATCGGCAACGAGAACTGGCCAGATGAAGGTAATGACTGATTAAACATAAAGCGATACTATTCGGGCAAAGAAATTCACGCAAAGGTTAAAGATGTAAAGTTCGAAAAAACTCAGATTACGTGCATGTCGTTCTCCATTTGTTTGGGATATTTGTAGCTTATTTTTTTTCTTGGGCAATTTTAATTACTTAAATCTTTATCGCGATATCGAGGCTTTTCTGAAAAATTTTACAACATTTTAAGTGCACAAGTGTACGTGTATAATTTTTCGATCATGTTTATTTTTGGGTATATAGCGTGTATGAAGATGCTTATAAAATATTTTAATGTATTAAGAACATGATGATTATAATTGTATATATATTATATTTTATAATTATACATTTATGAAAACAAAAATTGAACATGAAATAATTCAAAAGTAAATTAAATAAAAAGGCTATATTCACTGATGCAAGAATATTTTTTGCAAAAATATAATTGAAAAAATTATATTTTACATTATAAATTGTGATATTTTCAATTTTTTATTATAACGCAAATGGTGCAAGAATCTATGAGCATTTGCAATTTTACTACACAAGGCTGTTCTGAAAAGTTTCATAAGATTCTATGGATCTATTTCAATAATGTTTGGCATTTATGTTTATGCACTGCATCTGTAATATTCAAATTTATATTTTTTTTCTATGGACATAAGATTCTATGGACCTATTTATTTCAATAATGTTTGGCGTTTATGTATTGTATCTGTTATATTCAAATTTACATTTTTTTTCTTTATATGACTTTGCTTCTATATCATTTGTTCTTGTTTCCCATCATCTTTGAATTGTATTATTATTATTGACATTGATAAAGATCCAGATAGGATCGAAACGTTTGTCATTCCTCTTTATATTGGTACATGCAATTTCTTTAAATATGCTTTTCTTAAATTTGTAATTATATTTTTGGAAAAAATTATTCTTGCATCAATGATTATTAGCCTTCTTATTTAATTTACTTTTGATTTAATATCTTACAATCATTCTTTTAATTATTTTTATTTACAAAATAATTAAGAAAAGAATTATATCTTTTGCTGTTTCAAATTTTATGTCATGTGTTTATTACTTGACAAATATTTCCTATAATATGTATTTGTTAAAAATATGTATATATATATATATATATATATATATATATATATATATACAGGGTGATTTATTTTAATCGCCCCAGGCGGATATTTCAAATGCTGTTGAGTTTAGAGAAAAATGTTTCAGACAAAAGTTGTATGGTTTCAAGGGGGACATAAGATGGTACCATTGGTTTGACCTTGAAGAGTTATTTGAAGGTCACATGAAGGTCACCTTTAATTTCTTAAATGGAACCTACATTTTCTCTTTACATATTCTTGTAGCTTATCTCGAGAGCTTTCCAAAACACTATAATTAAGTACCTTTTCGTTAAGTACTTTTTGAGTTATAAGGCTTGAAATCATTTCTTAATTTTACATAAATCTAGTAAAATATCTAGTAAAATATTCATTTTTCGATTATCTTATCTTAATACTTTTATGTACAAAATAATGAGAGGAATCAATTGGTGTAAAGAAAACATACAGTTGTTTTTAAGAAAAAATATGTAATTGTTAATTGCAAATTACATATTTTTTCTTAGAAACAACTATGTGTTTTCTTTACACCAATTGATTCCTCTCATTATTTTGTACATAAAAGTAGTAATATAAGATAATCGAAAAATGAATATTTTACTAGATATTTTATGATTTATGTAAAATTAAGAAATGATTTCAAGCCTTATAACTCAAAAAGTACTTAACGAAAAGGTACTTAATTATACTTAATTATACTTAATTATACTTAATTATAGTGTTTTGGAAAGCTCTCGAGATAAGCTACAAGAATATGTAAAGAGAAAATGTAGGTTCCATTTAAGAAATTAAAGGTGACCTTCATGTGACCTTCAAATAACTCTTCAAGGTCAAACCAATGGTACCATCTTATGTCCCCCTTGAAACCATACAACTTTTGTCTGAAACATTTTTCTCTAAACTCAACAGCATTTGAAATATCCGCCTGGGGCGATTAAAATAAATCACCCTGTATATATATATATATATATATATATTTTTTTTTTTTTTTTTTTTTACTGCATTGATATAATAAAATGATTAATATTTATTATATTTAATATAGTTATAGTTAATATTTTATAGATAATGTCAGATGATGATGCTGCATTGGATTCAATGGATACTGAGGAAGAGATATTTGCTCCTCGCAACCGTAGCTTGGAGTCAAGCGTTAGACGACCTAAGAGCCTGCGCAAGCTGAGGTCGCATTCTGGCTCTAATTCACATATAATTAATAATAATTTGAGTGTACGACGTAGTACACGTAATAGAATGCAGACTTATGATAATCTTAATACTAGCTGGATTTTAGGTATCAATTATATATATATATTTTTTTTATATACAAATTTAAAGAACTACTTGCTACTTGAAACAACAAAATACTTCTAATCTTCTATTTGTAAATGTCATAAAAAAAAATCTTTCATTTTTTTTAAATAAAATTTAATACTTAAAAAAAATATGTATATATACATATATATACATATATATACATATACATATATATATATACACATATGTTTTACTTGGCAGTGATATATAAATTTTTTTAAACTTATTTTTTTAAACTTATTACTTTTTCTCATTTCAATAGATTTTTTTTGTCTATTTGATTTAAATTTTGAAAGTTTTTTTAAAAAATTATTATATTATAACTATTTTTTTGTATATCTTGTTAATATTTTTAAGATTTTTTATTTGTCCTCTACACTTTACTACTTTATTTTGTTTTACTTGAAATTATTATTTATTATTTTAACTTTTTTAAAATAAAATATATTAGTTATTATTGATTGAGAAATAATTTATTAAATAATAATTTATTTAATTTATTTATTTAACAATAAATAATTAAATTGAAATTTTTCAGAAATAATAATGTCCAAAATATCATAACTGTAATTATTTATTTTGATTTATTCATTGTCAATTGCAATTGTTTCTAAATATTCATAAAAATTAACAGGAACACAAACTTTAAAAGGGTATCCCATGTTTCAACAACATGCTTCTTCCTCGGAAAAAGAGATGGTAGATGATGTACCTGGTAGAAAGCGTGATCTTCGAGATCGTATGCCCTTGAGATCTCGTGAGAATCATCCACCTAATAAAAATCCAACAAGACATCTTAGAGACAGAACAGAACATGATCGACAAAATAATAGGGAACTTAGAGGTAGACCTGATCGTGATCTTAAAGAAAGGCCGGACGCGGAAAAAGATATTAATGACCAACAAACCAGACCCGCAAATGAGGAAAAAGATACTAGGCATGTAGTTTGATGAAATTTATTGTTGTGACATTTATGTTGTGGTTAATTGAATTTAATATAATTGAAATTAAAATGTTCTTTAGGAGAAAGTCTGATAGTCCAAGCAGATTTAGAGAAGGTCCTGTAACCAGATTATGTGGAAGTGTAATTGAGAAAAATGAAAAGTCTAAAACAGAGCAAGATGAGGCAGATGATGATAGTTTGCGAGAAAGTGAAAAGCCGGATAATAATGATAATTCTGAAAATGAAGATGTAAGCAAATTGTTATACCATACAATTTTTTTATTACATCAAATATAGTAGCAATTTATAAATTTGGTTTTTTTTTCTCATATATGTTTTAGGGATATGAGGATATGTATACCCGAATTAAGAGAACAAGACGCACAGCTCAACGGCAGCTGCCAAGAGGTAACGAGAAAGTTCATATTTACGAGCGCTATAGAGCATATTTTCTCTTCTAAAAATAAAACAATGTGTCTATTTGTTTATACATATAGTGGTAGACAGTGATCTGTCCGAGTCCTCGGATTCTCCTGGGCCTAGGAAGTATAGTTTACGTCAAAAAAAGCCTACTGTAGATAGGTTTCAAGCTAATGTAGAGCCAGTTAGACGATCTATTAGAGCTCTAAGAAGTGTTCTCAGCAATTCAATGAGAAGAAGAAAACATAGAAGTAAAAGCACGAGTTCAAGCGATACCAGTGATTCTGAACCTCAACGTTACGACAAAAAGAAAGGCAAAAAAGCGAGGTATTTATACATGTCACGATAAAGTTTTCATTGAGTAATGGTTTCGTCAATAAATATTACAAGTATTGAATAATACTTTCACAGACAATCGGCGATACCACAAGGCGGTCCACCAGATCGAAAAGCTGACATAAATCCTATTACTCTAGACACTAATATTAGATTTAGCGACGTCGGTGGTTTGGAATCTCACATTCACTGCCTTAAAGAAATGGTCGTATTTCCTATGTTGTATCCAGATGTTTTTGAGAGATATAACACTACTGCACCAAAGGGTGTCCTATTTCATGGTCCACCAGGTATTAAATCTGTTGTTTTACAAAAGAATAATAAAATTAAAATTTATTTTGAAATCTTATACAAATTAAAAATCTATCTAGGAACTGGTAAGACATTGATAGCCAGAGCATTAGCCAATGAATGTAGTCAAGGTAATAAGAAAATGGCATTCTTCATGAGAAAGGGAGCGGATTGTTTGTCGAAATGGGTTGGGGAATCGGAACGACAGTTGAGATTGTTGTTTGAACAGGCTCAACAAATGAAACCGTCCATAATATTTTTCGATGAGATAGATGGTCTGGCACCTGTCAGAAGTACTAAGCAAGATCAGATTCATGCTAGTATTGTATCCACTCTCTTAGCACTCATGGATGGTCTTAGTGATAGGGGAGAGGTAATAAAAGTGAAGCAGAAAAAGAGAGAAAAAATATCTTTAGTTATTTGTTTCTTTACACTTTTTCCTTTTTTACTTGTTAAAGGTTATAGTCATTGGTGCAACAAATAGAATCGATGCGATCGATCCGGCTTTACGAAGACCCGGTCGTTTTGATCGCGAACTTTTCTTTCCACTACCTGCTATGAAAGAGAGATTAGAAATTTTAAAGATTCATGTCAGCAAATGGAAAAATGCACCATCTGAACAATTGTTAGAAATACTGGCGGAGAAAGCAACTGGATATTGCGGTTCAGATTTGAGAGCCCTGTGTACTGAAGCAGTGCTACAAGGATTAAGGAGAACTTATCCACAAATTTATATGACAAATGACAGATTATTGCTAGATCCAGAAAGAGTCGAAGTACGTTTTATAATAATAAGAAAAATTATGCAATCAATCATATATAACAAGTTTTATTTTAAAAATTATTAATAAGATATATTAATCATATTAATTATATAATAGGTAAAAAAACGGGATTTCATGCAAGCAAGCTCTATGCTCGTTCCATCGTCGCATAGAGTAGCTCCATGTGCAGGAAGAAAATTACAACTTTTTATGGTACCATTGTTAGGTCCTCCATTAGAAGAATTAATTAATTTAGTGAAAGGAATATTTCCTCATGGTGTAAATCCTGCCATGGCAAAGTAATTATCCTTAATATGCATGATATTACAGCAACAATAAAATTGATTGTATTCTTTCAAGTTATATATATTTTTATAGAGTAAAGAATGCCAAGGGTGTCTATCGCCCAAGATTATTAATCTCGGGTGGCAGTCTGTCCGAAGGTCAGGGACCTCATCTAGCTCAAGCATTATTATATTGTATGGAACATTTACCAGTTCAAATTTTGGATGTTAGCACATTATTTGCAGAAAGCGCTCGATCTCCGGAAGAAACTTGTGTGCAGGTGATATAACATTACATATATCAATAATTATTAAAACTCATACATTTATCTGAAACCTCTATCTAAACCTTCTTTAGTTTTATAATAATTAACAATAATATACACAAAAAGTATAAATATACTTTTATTCTTATTTTATATCATGTAAAAAAAAAGTTTTATTTTAATCGTGTCTATTTAATACAGGTAATTAACGAAGCTGCTAGGAATGTACCGTCCATAATTTACATTCGATCAATTGACAAATGGTGGCCTCTTGTACCAGAGACAGTAAAAGCAGTTTTCCTTTGTCGTATCACAGCATTGGATCCTTCATTGCCAATTTTAATTCTCGCGACAAGCGATACGACATATCAAGATCTCCCTAATCAGTTGAAAAACTTGTTTAGCGAATTACGTGGAGAAGTGTATTCCATGAAAACCCCTACCACCGAGCAAAGAATGAAATTTTTCCGACACATTTTTATAGTTCAAAGTCTGAGACCGCCACAGATCAAAAGCAACAAAGTAGAAGTTTTAGAGACACTGCCATTAGCGCCAGATCCGTTACCAAAGAAATTAACTGAAGCGGAGAAACGAATCATTTATGAAAAAGATGAAGTATCTTTGAGAGAATTACGGATTTTCCTGAGAGAAATCTGTGCTAAATTAGCAAGAAATCGACAGTAAGTACATCTTATAAATTATTTTCTTGCGTTTTTCTTTCTCTTTCTTTTTTTTACAGAGATATTTATAAATGATATGATGTTTCAGATTTTTTATGTTTACAAAACCAGTGGACACAGAGGAAGTACCAGATTATAATTTGATAATAAAACAACCTATGGATCTGGAAACGATGATGACTAAAATCGATATGAATTGTTATCTATGTGCCCGCGAATTCCTCGATGATATTGATCTCATATGTAGAAATGCTCTAGAGTACAATCCAGACAGGTCAGTAATTCGAGAGGGACAATTTTTTTGAACCTCATTGTTTGAATCATGAAAAGAACAATCATATGAGCGTTGTGCGAAAGTATCTCCGTTACAGAAGCGCTTATACTATTGATATTGTACTATAACTTAAGGTTATTCTTTAGCAATACTATACTCTTTTTCTATACTGACATTCATATTGTGTGTTTTCATGTCAGCTTACGTGATAGGCCTTCCCTCGGAATATTGAAGAGGTAGTTGAGCTTTTTGCTGTTTATCCGTAATGCTGTTATCGCTCCATAGATAATAGTGGTTTTCAATTTAAAGCGCACCATAATCAGTTGTTGTTCGTTTTACTTAGATACACTGTTATAATAACTAATTCACTATGCATTATTGAAGGCCACTCCCATTAGACATCACGCTTTCTGTTAATGGAATGCTGAAAGATTGTGCTAAAATTTGGTATATATATATATATATATATGTATATATATATATATATGACTAATATATGTTTTCTACTCTTTTAATAGGGATCCTGCTGATAAATTGATAAGACATCGGGCGTGTTCTTTAAGGGATAATGCTTACGCTTTAATAAAAGCCGAACTGGACTCCGATTTTGAGGATAAGTGTCGCGAAATTTCTAAGAATCGTCGAATTTTGGAAAGCAATTGTAATAATGAGGAGGAAAGCAAAAATACAAAATCAGAATCCATCTCGATGAATGAACGAATAGAAAAGAAGGAGTCTGTAAATTCTAGTCATTCCCTTATCGTGAACGGAAAGAAATTCGGTAGTTCGAGAAAACGTAAAATACCTGCATGGGCGAGAGGCTATGTGAAGAAAGTTCATAAAAAGAAAAAGATCGCTTTTGACGAAAGTGTTACTGAAGTAATCGCAAGTAAATCGCTAAACAATGAAACTACTACTAGTATTGATCTAGAAAAATTCCAAGAATTCGAAACCGAGGCGAATAACGTTTTAAACGGCCATGTGGGATTATTCGATAATACTGATTCGGAGAACGATTCGCAGAATGAAAATTCAAAGGAAAGCCAAAACGGTACTGTTGCAGATCAACGAATCGATAATCTCGACCAAATGGAGATATGTTCGGTAGAAGATAAACCTACTGGGAATGGTGATTCGAGTTCGTCGTCTCGACGCGAAAGCACGGATGAAATGTCGTTCGCGTTTTCTATCGAAAGCGATTCTAGTCGAGATAAAATTGAGGAAAGTGAGAAAGTTGTAGTTGATAGAAACGAACTCGAAAATGCGTGGCATTTTACTGTCGAAATAACGAAGGACTTTCCTGTTGAAGTATTGTGCGATATTTATGTGCAACTAAGCAGATGCGTTGGGAAATATGCTCATAAATATGAAAGAAAATCACTGCCAAAGGTAAATATATGTATATATAATCTGTAAAAGATAGAACATGTGCATATAGCGTCAATATCGATTTATTTAATTTATATACATCATAAATATATATGTTATTACACTTGCATTGTGTAGGACTTGCTCAAGGAAGTGGAAAAGTTTACGGAGTACAAGCGACAGTGTCATTAGAATATACACAATACAAGTAGGTATGGCATTGTATGAACGAAAATGCAGCATGTTGCTAACGAGACAAGCGTATCATACGTTACATCATAATAATATTTTTAGCAACACTAATCTTTAAAAAAATATCAGATGGTTTCTTTTATATATTTATACACAAATTACAAAGCCGAATATTATTGTTGTATCAAAAAAAACTTTGGGAATGATATATTTTTTAGTTATTATACTGCCAGTTTTTAGATAAATAATAGCACACATCTGCAAAGCAATCGCATTTGTTGTTTAAGATGCAGAGCAAGAAGCAAGAAATTAGTTTTAATTAAGTATTAAATTCCAGGTATATACACATAATCCTATTAAATTTTGTACATATTGTAAAAGTCCTGTAAATGTTCAAACAAGCGATTATTTGACATAATAAGGGCCCGTCGTGATCATCTTAATCATACTTAATGACTGAAGTAATAAGAATGAATTACGCCGCCATCTTATTACTCGCAGTCGTTTATATACTTTTTAGAAAATAAATTTGATTCATATTTCTCAGAAAAAAAGTTTTATAAATTTTTCATATATTGTCATCAGTATAAAAAAATAATTATTATTATTAGTATTATTTTTATCTTTACCGCGTTTATAACTATTTTTTTTATTATTTCTTTTATTCAATATGATTGAGATTATATTATTCTCATCATTGTAGTAAACCAGAAGAAAAAAGTAATAAATTATTAAATATTTTCTTTTATAATATTTTTTAAGAATAATTATAGATTTCTGTTCGATGATGATTTTTTTTTTACATTGAGAAATTTGGAAGTACATATTAATGAGAAATAACGAAAGCACAGGAATTAGTACATTACGTACTTAATTGTTTCCATTCAAATAGTCTTTGAATAATTAAATGAACACATTAACATGGTACAATGCATCCCTAATTCTAGAACATCATTTTAAATATTTACGAGACACAAGAATTCGGCATTTTATTATATTACTGACCAGAGATTATTCCAAATATTTGTCTTGGATCCAAATAAAAATTTACAAGTAAGGAGAGCTAAAGTATGAAGCGTATTTCTTTATATCTGTTAAAATTGTGGTTTTCCTTGTATATCAATATACCTCGCGAAACAAAATGTATCAATTTAAATTATTATTAAAATATAAGATAATATTACTTGATATGTGTAGAATAAGATAGGTCAAAGATTATTATCACGAGAAAAATCGATGTGAAAAAATTTGGATCTAGCTTAACAAAAGAATCACAGAAAGTATCAAATCAACATATTCAAAAATGTTATATGAGCATGTATCTTTATGTAAAGTACTTTACGTAAATATTGTAACAGTACTGTTTTATCAGAATCCTGTTAAGATTTTTAAGCAAGCAATCGAGAACAACCGATATTGTCTGGTTAAATGTGATTTTTTTTGTCGCGATAACAGCTTTTGATCCATCCATCTTGCATTAGTGCAGTTCACTTTATACAAAATAACTTAAGACATGTTCGAAATGGGATTAATAATCTGCAATTTAAATAGACCAAAGTTGTAAAAAAAGGTATAAGATTGATTAAACTTAACACACATGCACGCATGAGCGTACACACACAATTATGAGAAATATCTAAATATATGAAATACCTCGATAAAAAAGAAACATTATGCAATGGTGGCTAGTTAGTCACATTTAAATTAATTTTGAGGCTTCGCAAAAAAGTGAATGACTTTAAAATTGCGAAATTTATACATGTTTAGAGAGATCTCAAAGAATGGGCTATAGTAATTATTATTAAATATTGATATGAATTAGAATTAAATCGGTTCGAGAAAAGAATGACTTAACTGTACTGAATTATTACAAAAACATAAATAATTAATTGTTAAAATCTGAATCAACATTTGAAGCGATAACAAAAATTTATTTTAGGTCTAATAAGTACTTTTGTGTATTTGGCGGTCGTTTTACAAAGTATTTCGGGACTCTCGCACTTTCTTCGATTTTATTTTTTCTTATTCTTTTTTTTATTTTCTGATTCTCTTATTTGTTACATTTTATCAAAACCGACTGTAAATAGATTATCTCGATTTTGTTTATAACTCCAGAGCTATATTGAGAAACATTTCTCGATTTGAAACACCTGCCATTCTTATGAATCAGAGAATACCCGCGCTTGAGAGGAAGAAACTGTGTGACGATTCTGAAAGACTTTGTTTTATATATATATATATATATATATATATATATATATATATATATGAATATATTAATAAACATTTGTAGAGAGTATATAATGCCTTCCAGATTCGTGTATTGGTTGTGATTTGCTATAATTGTGAAAGATTAGTTACCAGATAGATCAGGTGAAATTGTATGCGATGAGACGAAAACTCGTTTTCACCTTGGCTGTTTCGAACAGTCTAAAAAGCCGATTTTCTTCAATATAACCGTTTAAACAATACGTACGTTTGTTGAATTGTACGTGTATACACATACAGGGCGCTATCCATCTTCTACCGTTTAAACCATACAATCGAATATAGGAGAGAGCTATAAGGAATAAACTTTATCAATAAAAGTTATGTGATCCACAAGTAATATCTTTCTTAGGGATATGCGTCATTATTGTCCAGATGTGACGAATTTTTAATTTGCAATCGCGTGATTGAAAGGTAATCTAAACTTTGTTAGTAGGATATTCGTTTTGCGCGTTAGGTGATAGTGATGCAATTTTTTTCATAGCAATGAAATTTTGTAGTTAGCATAAAAATTCGTTCTATTCGGCGATTGGATAATTCGTCGAAATTCGATTGTATTATTTGCGAAATTTTCTAGTGGCTAGAGAGTCGAAAAGACTGAGATTTAGAAGAAAAAAAAATGTTTTTTAACGTTCGTTACGAAGTTTGTACGAAATACGCATCTTAAAAATTCGAAAAGAAATTAGAAAAGGAAGAATAGGAGAAAAGAAAGATCACTGTAATGTTGTCATACGATGTTATCATCGATTCTCTGAGACGCGCGATGATGGATTCCCATCAGTGGGAATTGTATAAGTATTTGCCAAAGAAGTAACGACAGATAATGCTCTAGCAAAACTCTCTTCTCACATATAATTATAATCATTGTAAGGCATTAAGCATAAATTGCAAGGAAAAACTGCCGAGCGGATGTGTGATTTTTCTTTTAGCGATTACGATTTACATTCCGCTTCGAAATAACGATCCAAAAAAACTTTTCGCGATTATATTCTTGGTGCTATTTTCAGACACACTGTCATTTCACTATCACTCGCGTGAATTGTGAATCCGTATATATATATATATATGTACATACATATATATAAATATGTATATATAAATATGCGCTATCAGATTAAGAAGTTATCTCGTTATTAGTAACACTGCCGATTATGAACGAGCGTTATCATATTTATCTTTCTTTTTTGTTTCTCAATATCTCTTAAGACTACTTTTTACGACGAATAAAGTTGACACTTTGTCAACGCGTTTGAGCTGTAGCATATCAAATCTGGCAATTTGTTTCTATTGACATAGTAGATAGTAATCTTAAGAAAATCCACACATACATATACACAACAAGTTGAAAAAGATACGGACGAAAAGCGACGATGCATCCACTGCCTTATTTATTTTACCATAAATATATATATTATACATATATATATATAAGTAACACATTTTATAGTCATACATATAGTGAAATAAAATTTCGTAATGCAATTAATTTATTTGCGGTTATTCTTGTTCCTTCCAAAATATTTCTCTGTTTGTTTCATTGTGAAATTATCATTTTGCATATTTATTTCTGCAAAAACATACGAACGCTATTGTATCAATGCGGTAGTCGATTTGTATGACCTTCCGTTTGTTAACCGGCGATACGTCAAAAATAATGAAATTAAGCAGTAACCTCTCGTAACTTTTTAAATAAAATCTGTATAAAAATTCTAGTAACGATAATTCGATCGTAAGATCATCCAGAATGCGCGAATAAATCGAGAAATTTGTATCGAGATGTCGACAATAGTAAAAATGTCATTCTCGTATTGACTATGCATAATAGAGAAGCAAACGGAAGTGAAAATAGATCGGCGGTTCGTTTTTAGAGTTTTTGAAGAAGAGAAGAAAATGTCCATCGCAAAAGATTTCTCGTGCATCGGAGGATTGGAGAAGCACATTAGAATCGTAAAAGAGATGGTTCTGTTCCCGCTGATGTACGGAGACGTGTATGCCAAGTTTAATCTCAGACCGCCTCGTGGCTTACTGTTCTATGGCCCTCCAGGTAATATTTGTATATAAAATGAACGTTATTGAATCTCCTCTTATATTTATTCTTCGTCAGGAACGGGAAAAACCCTCGTAGCCAGCGCTCTAGCGACCGAGTGCAGCAATTCCGAACGCAAGGTTTCCTTCATTTCGCGCAAGGGTTCCGATTGTCTCAGCAAATGGGTCGGAGAAAGCGAAAAGAAGCTTGAGAAGATTTTCTCGTTGGTCAATGAAATTCAATCTTTATATAATTCTTATATTTTTTCTTTTTTATATATTTATTATTACCCGATTTATGCGACACGCGTTTCAGATATAAGATTGAATCTATAAATTTTTTTCCTCTCTTCAAACTCGAATGCTTTATGCAAATTGTGTTACAAAGCAAAAGATATCTTCAAAAAGAGATTTTATGCATGTAAATTCGAGAGAACATCTTCGAGTCAAAGAATATGTGTTTCTTTTTCTTCAGGCACAACAGACGAAACCGTGTATAATTTTTTTCGACGAAGTGGATGGTCTCGCTCCTGTAAGATCAAGTCGGCAAGATTTCGTTCATGCTAGCGTAGTCTCTACTCTCTTGGCTTTGATGGATGGTTTGGACAATAATTCCGAGATCATAGTGATAGGCGCGACTAACAGGATCGACGCGATCGATCCCGCTCTGAGGAGACCTGGTAGATTCGACAAAGAATTATATTTCCCTTTACCTTGTTACAGCGCCCGAAAAGAGATACTTTCGGTATTATTTTCATAATAAAAATATAAGAATAATAAAGGAAAAGGAACTGATAAAATTTGACAAAATAAAATATAAAAAAAATTGATGGAAAAATATATTAATGATTTGTAACGTGGTGATAGGTACACATTAAAAGTTGGAAACAGAAACCGGCGCAGAAATTTTTAGCGTATCTGGCGTCGAATACATTGGGATTCTGCGGCAGTGATCTACAGGCACTTTGTGCCGAAGCAGTTATGTGCTCGGTTCGCAGAAACTATCCGCAAATCTATAATTCGAAATCCAAGTATCACATCAACGAACGCCATCTCAAAGTAAGACATCTGTCATTTGTAACACAAATATCAATCGAATCTGTTGAACGAATTAAATAAATAACGCAGAAGTTACTTTATAAGAAAAATACATAACATAATTACATAAAGATGTTATGTATAAATAAATAAAAAATATAAATACATAGAAACTTTATAAACTTTATAACAAATTAATAAATTATCTTAATATCGCTAGTCAATTAATTAAAGAATCATTGGAAATAATCGACCAAACCTAGTCAGAATTTTTGTTTATTAATTACGATGTTTCGACCATATGGTTATGGTCCTTTTCAAGTATATACTGGAAAATGAAATTAACAATTAGATTTTTCAACGGTTTGAATAAACAGTACACACACGAATTAAATGTGAACAATTTGTACATACAGATCAAAAGATAGATATAAATCATAGTATTGTAAATTGCACAAGTCACGTTTGCAAGATCATTACATCTTACTAAATTTAAAATCGAGAGAAAATTGTTCACATTTAATTCGTGTGCGTACTGTTTATTCAAACCGTTGAAAAATCTAATTGTTAATTTCATTTTGCAGTATATACTTGAAAAGGATCACAATCATATGGTCGAAACGTCGTAATTAATAAACAAAAATTCTGGCTAGGTTTGGTCGATTACATTATTTCCAATGATCCTTTTATAATAAATGTTATAAAAACTTTTGCGAGAAATTAAACAAATTAAATTCAATTTCTCAAGGTGGAAAAGGAAGATTTTCTGAAGGCGCGTCAAAATATCGTTGCTGCGTCCCATCGCGTTATCGTTGCGCCCATCAAGAGTTTACCCTCCAAGATCCAACCGTTGTTGCAGGAAGATCTAGCGGAAATCCTGTCGCGATTACAAACACTTTGTCCAACCGGCATGCTAACTTCCGATAACATGTAAGTACCGCAAGATAAATATCTAGGAACGGAATCAAAATTAAATCTACCAAAATTAATCCAAATAGAACAGGCAAAGCCATGTCCAAATCGAATGGCTGTCCGCGAATCTTGCTATGCGGCGATGATTCCCACACTCGACACCTGGGACCGGCATTGCTGCATACCCTGGAACATTTACCTTGTCATATTCTGGATGTCACGACACTGTTCGAGGAAACAGGCAAAGCGGTTGAAGAAGCTATAATACAAGTAGAAAAGGATTATTCTTTTCTCTTTCCCGTTCCTAGATAAGTGTCAAACAATAATCATTTTGTCGTGATAACAGAAGATCAAAGCCACACGTCGCACTTTACCAGCGCTGCTGTACATTCCTGGTGTTCTGTCTTGGTGGGACTTGGTGAATGAGACAGCGAGGGTGATTTTTACTTCGTTAATGCGCGGTCTCGACCGATCGGTGCACATGCTTGTGTTAACGACCGTCCATTGTCGACGAGTCGATCTGCCATCGGAGGTTGACTTTCTTTTCTCAATGTGTTTTATTATATACAGGGTGGGCCATTTTAAGTGATCCACTCAAATATTTCGGAAAATAATGAAAAATCAAAAAAATGTTTCAGATAAAAGTTGTATGGCTTGAAGGGGGCCATCAGATAGTGGCAATGATTTGACCTTGGAGAGTCATTTGAAGATGACGTAAATGAGGTAACCTTCAATTTCTTAAATGGAATTTCCTATTTTTTATTACATATTCGTGTAGCTTATCTCGAGAGCTTTCCAAAACACTATAATAAAGTATTTCTTCATTGAGTACTTTTCGAGTTATGAGGCTTGAAATCATTTCTTAATTTTGTATAAACCGTAAAATATCTAGTAAAATATTCATTTTTCGATTATCTTGCTTTAATACTTTTATGTACAAAATAATGAGAGAAATCAATTGGTGTAAAAAAAACATATAGTTGTTTCAAAGAAAAAATATGTAATTGTTAATTGCAAATTACATATTTTTTCTTAAAAATAACTATGTGTTTTCTTTACACCAATTGATTCCTCTCATTATTTTGTACATAAAAGTATTAAAGCAAGATAATCGAAAAATGAATATTTTACTAGATATTTTACGGTTTATACAAAATTAAGAAATGATTTCAAGCCTCATAACTCGAAAAGTACTCAATGAAGAAATACTTTATTATAGTGTTTTGGAAAGCTCTCGAGATAAGCTACACGAATATGTAATAAAAAATAGGAAATTCCATTTAAGAAATTGAAGGTTACCTCATTTACGTCATCTTCAAATGACTCTCCAAGGTCAAATCATTGCCACTATCTGATGGCCCCCTTCAAGCCATACAACTTTTATCTGAAACATTTTTTTGATTTTTCATTATTTTCCGAAATATTTGAGTGGATCACTTAAAATGGCCCACCCTGTATATATATAATTTCGCTATTCTATTCGTATTTTAAAATACATTCACGTTCGAATAACTGTATTTATATTTTTTAAATCAAATATATTACATTGAAAAAATCTATTAAAATGAAAGATTGGCAAAATTGTGAAATTTTTAGAAACATCATTATTGAAATTTCTCGAACATATTAATATATATTCGTAATATTATTTTTATTCGTACAGAGTAAAACGCATAATCATCGGTATCTTATCATAGATTGCAGAATTGTATGATGATAATCGCGGAGAGGTGTACGAAGTGAGATCGCCTTCACCGCAAAAGCGACGCTCCTTCTTCAAACAATTATTTCTTCATGGATCCGACAGTCCTTCCAATTGCTCCTCGCAAGGTGATTATCCATCTAAAATAATCACACGGTTTATTATTATTATTACATTAACGATAAATCGGTTTCTGACAAACGTAGCGGATCTGGTACAAATCCTGAGCCCGAAGAAATTCAAGGGTGAAAATAACAGAAAGCTGCGAAGCTTCGTATGTTCTAGCGATTCAAACGGATTTTTAGGTACGTATTTAAAAGTACAAATTTTGCACACAAGATCGTTAATAAATGTATACATATGCAATGATTTCAAGAAATAAGCGCGGCACGCACGACCAGAAAGGTTAAAACGGAATCGAAAGCGCGAAATAAGCTCGGAACTATACGATCCTTACATTCGACGTTTTCCAAATCGAGTAATTACCGAGTGATAATTTTATAAATTTAATTTATATTTACAATACACAATTTCTTGAAATTTATTAATGCGAATATATTAATTATAAATTTTAATCGCGATTTATAATTTTACAAATTTGCTTGCTAGGGACAAATATCAAGAGAGAATGCAACGCATCAGGTGAAGGTCCGCCATCAAAACGACAGAAATTAACATCCGGTACATCTTCGTCTCGATCCAGCGCTGAAAAGTTTTTCAACTCGCAAATAGATGACTTGATTGAAACAATCGTTCGATCAACCGACGAATGGCCGAGTCATCTATTGGAGAGTCTGTTCTCTTCCCTTGAACTCACAATAGAGAATAATGGAGATTTGCGTACGATAGTGAACGAATACGTTGTACGTTACGAGGAACTCAAACGAGCTAAAATGCGTGCGAAACAGGAGGAAGATTAATTTAATTAATTTCGTAAAAAAAACGTCTCTTCGCTTGTCAATTGTCGCTGTGATGTCTAAATATGATGCGAAATGCATCGCGATAGCCGGCAATAAATTTGTGAATGTATTATAATATTACAGTGTAATAAACAATATTCTGAATTTTTTACTTTACAAGATATTCCTTTTTTTTTGCTATCATGAATTGTATATCTTTGATCAAGATTTGAATAATTTTTGGCGCATCATAATTTAATTTCTTAAAATCTAAAAATCTATAACTAAATATTCTAATATTTAATATTCCAACATCTCTAATATCTATGACTAAATCTATAACTAAATATTAAGTACATAATTATAAAATACATAATAATAAATATCCATTTTTAAAATTTAAATTATGAGCATTAAATTAAGAGCAGGATTATTTAGTTTAGAAATGATTTGAAATTGGCTTTATTCAAAAATTAAAATATTATTTGTAATCTCATTTGATTTTTCAAAGCAATTTCCAAATAATTTATAGCAGTGATTTTCTTTCAATGTTTTTAATGTCAAAATTTTCTTCGAAAATCGTTTTCGTATTACAACGCCAAAAATTATTGGTATTTTTCCTCCTTTTCCTTTTAATAAAATATATTTTATGTTTGATAAATGTTTCCTGACTCGCATCATATGTTTTATGCGTCTCAATGGTTGCAGCGACTGTCTCTTCTCTCCTTTTGCAACTCATAGGACTCGGTCTCCTACTTGAGAGGGTCTTTCAACGTGGTGGAGGGGTCCAATCCGGCGAGCTTATCAGTTAGCATACGACTGTTGCATGCATCGCGTTGTATTCTGTGTCCCGCGAGTACGATTCAGCTTTGCGAGACCACGTGGCGGAACGACGAAAAGTAACGCGTGTCAGGTTTCGAAAGAAAGCAAAAACTTGCATACGTGCTGTATGTTGCATACTTAAAATAGCAGCAAATAGCATCCTTCTCATCACGTTTATCGTGACTCGTGTGTCGAACTCGCACACGTGATATCCATAACGAGAGGAACAAGATCACGCGGTAACACGATAATAAATAGACGTTTTTCACATGCGAAATTGCTATATAATACATAATTTTTAATGCAAATTTAATCTTAATTAAATTCTTATTTGTAAAATTTGCCATATAGCTTATTATTAACTCAAACATGTTTATAATAGCTTTCTAATGAGAAAAAAGCATAGAGTTTGATATTTTCAACAAATATTTATTACAAACATGTAGAAAAGATATATTTAAAAAATTGTTAAACATTATATGTTTTTATATCTTCCTTTAAAAAAAATAAAGGTATCGATTAATATACCTTAGTACTAAGGAAAACGACATTTTGGCAGAGAATCATTATCCTTGGAAAAAGAAAAAACTATACAAATAGTGTATAACTATACAAATACAAATAGTGTTACATGAAATATTATGATAAAGATAGACTAAAACAAAAGAGAAGTGTTCTGAAAACGATTAATTTTCGGAAGCGTTTTCTAATATATCCATTTTTTTAAATTTTGTAACATACAAAATTTTATATAATAAATAAAAAAAATATATTTAATAGTACATATATATATATATATATAATAAGAGTATCAATGTACGGGATGGTATTAGACGACTATAATCGTCAATTTCTAACGCAAACAAATTAACCGATTAATATTTATACGCATTATTTATAAAACAGCTTGTTTTAACGACATGTATAACGATAATAATAATTGACAATACACTCAAAAGTTAAAACAAAATGCAAGTATTATACATGTAATATGTAGAACACTTTCTATTTTAGTAAAAGTGTAATTTTTACCTTTATTCTCCCTTATCTTTAAATGTTTTTAATTAATAATATTTAGAAAAATTGGTAAAATTTTTTTAAGTTTTACTAATTTTTGCAATTTTAAGAAGTAATCGAAATTAATATTTGTGAATTACTTAAATTGACAGATCTTTACAATCAACAAAAATATTGTGAAATATTTTTATATATCTCAGATTGTAGATTCTTTCTCTCTAACGAGAAAGAAAGAGGCCGAGAAAGAGAGAAGGAGTTTTTTTATCAGAATTAAAATTAGTATATAATTACATTTGGATTAAAATTTATACTCAAAAAATTACTATATCATTATATTTATATGTATATCCTTACACAGTATCATTTTGTAACTTATAAGATAAGGAAAGACAATGGTAACAGAAAAACGATAGCGAAAAGTTTGCTTTCTTTTGTTAATTGCACAAATTAATAATTATATATACGTATATATAAAATATATAATATTATTTTAACTAATGCTTTTTTTAATTTAGAAAAAGGAGCAATAAAGAAAAAAATAATATGTTGGCCCACTCGCTGTTTTGGCCTTGAGAAGATTATGATTTATAATCGTGTCACATTTAACATACAACAATAAGTTTTTGCCACATACTCTCAATTTAACACAGCTACTTCATTGCCATTCGCTTTTAATCCATTGGTGTATTACGGCTCTTCTGCTTGCATCCGTGATTTGAAAAATCCTTGATGAGCATATATCGCGTAATCTTCTAAGTTGTTGTTATTAATTTCCGCTAGTTCATCGTAATAGCTAATTCCGAAATGATGCATATCTTCCAGATAAATACCTAGTTTTTTATTGAACGCATTTACCAAAAACTGATAACTACTTTCGGTTACGGTCGTAAATGCTGGATAATCAGATGGTTCAAAATTTGTTGTAAATCCAGCATTGCATTTTTCTGGGCAAATAGCCGATTCCCGCTGTATGGGAACGCTGTACATAAGCGGTTTATTACCAGTATTTTGTACCAATATTTCTCTTTCAGTACGATTAGGCGATTCGTGATTAATATCGCTTTGTACATTTCTTCTAGTTATTCGTAGCACTTCTTGTATGTCATCATCAACGTTCGAATTACCTTTTATTGATTCATTTTTTTTGTTAAAGAAACTTCGAGTTAAGGAAGCAAGCGAATGTTTCGTCGCAGTTTCATAGATTTTATTTTTTTCATTCTCGATAGCTATTTCCTCAGAATTTGCTAAAGAGTTTGTTAATTCAGCACTTCTTTTATCCTTTGCAGCCATATTAGATTGTTTGATTGTAGGATTGTAACGAATCTCGTTGGCCGAGAGTTGTTTAGATGTTAGTGATGTTTTGTCGAACTTCTCTCGCTGATAGGTAAGAGGATTGTTATCATTCGATAAAAATTCGGCTTGGCAATATACATTTTTTCTTTTTGATTCGTTTAGGTTTCTTTGTGAGTTTTCCTTATTATAAGTGTCTAAATTATTAAGAAAACTTCTCCATGTGTCCGCTGTATTTTCTTGAGAGATAAAATCGCTATGATTTTTATATTCTTCGCACGAACCGTTGCTATCAGGAATTACGTCCCTATACGATGTATTTGAGATCTCTGAAAGACTTCTCCCCACTACAGTGGTAGAACGTGCTATCGCATCGCCTTTAGTAGACGTGAATTTACCTACAATATATCGATTTGCAGCTTTATGAGGTATATGTTGTACATGATTGTTATCCACAACATGGTCCGAGAGAAACAAATCGATATGCGCTGCGCAGTTATCTTGATGTTTCTGAATTTCGAGCGAGTCCAAAGTTTGCGTACCAGTATCGACGAAGTATTTGAGATTATTTTCTATTTTTAAATACTTTCGATGCAGATTCACATCCATTGTCGTCATTCCGTTTAGTTTGAATTTCACGCGTACTGTCTCTTTTCTTCGTCCCTTCTTTTTGAATTTGGATCTTGTACCATGCTTATGTATCAATCGCTTGTGACTCTTTAAGTCCGGGATAGTTTGAAATTGCACGTCGCATATATCGCATTTCTGACCAATGTTTTCGAGATAAATATCGTGGTGTAGATCGTCAATTAACGATCCTATAGTTCCGTTGTGTCGCCATTGTGAATGTACAGAAACGTCGCTCTCACACTTAAAGTCTCTACCGCATATTTTGCACGTACTTCCGATAATGACGACACTGCATTCTCGTAGGGTCACACCAGGAGGAACACTGAAGCTTTTTTTATTCAACTGAATGTCGTTGAATACTCGCATTTCATCCAAGTTTGACGAATCTTAAGACGATCTTTATTCTTCGGCAGTTCTTCCACCAGTCTTCGTCGTGCGTCGACGTCCTCTTGAAAAGTTGCGATCGCACAGCGCAGTCACTATCGTGCAAACTCGTCACCGATAAACTTCTGCCAGCGATAAGACTTCATTGGGTCTCGCGTTGACTCCGATGTGGCGCCACCTCGTGTGCGGATGGTCACTGTAACGCGACCTGAGACGACAAAAGACAATTGTCATGTTGATAGTGTTTTGTCTATGTTATTCCGAACGGTCGAATTTGTTTTTTGCCTGAAAGGTATTTCATAACATGTTGTAGGTATATATTTCGGAAATAACGAATAATATTGAGAGATTGAGAGTGATTCGTCGAACGTTAAATTGTTTGTTTTATCCACAACGTTCGATGAATCGTTCAATCTTTTCTTGTATAAGAGTAAATCGACGAAGTTGCTTTATGTTTTAATATAACCGATCGTCCGAAATTATAATTAATTTAATTTAAATTATAGAGTTTACACTCGTTTCTGAATTATAATAATGCGTACGTGGATAATGTTAAAGATTCATGCATAAGGTACAATATTCATACGAATTTGAATTACTTAATTGGAGGAGAGTTTAAGTCAATAACATGAGAAATAAAATGGATATTATATATTAATAATGTATCAGCGAATGTGTGATTACGACATTAAACAAAACAGATTGCACATATATACACACACAACGTAGTAAGATTAAAATAATAAAATTGTGTGTGTGTGTCGAATATGTGCCCGAGTAGGTTAATATTAAACAAACATGATATTAAATATATTTTTTAAAATAGTATATGTTGTTAGACAATCATTCCTCTATACAACAACAACAATTATAATATTATAAATGTTTCTTTGAGATAAAATAATATTATTTTAATATATTTCAAACTCATATAAGACTCATAATTGGGAAATCATATTAAATCAGAACTCTGATTATATTACTAACTCTTTATTTATCTTTTCCTCTTTTCTCTCTCTTTATCTCTATTTAATATATTTCTAACAATATTTAATAACATTCTTTTCATATTTTATACATTGAAAGAGAAAAAATAAGAAATACAATTTTTTTTTACATAATTTCACAGAATTATATCAAACGTAATAAAAACTGTGTAAACATACAGGACTTGAAAACAGTTTCTTCGATATGAAGCAAAATTCGATAATTCAAAGCATGTAACGTTGATACAAGTTATATGTTACTTACGTTTACAAACTTAATTATAAACATATATAAGTATAGAATAGAATGTAATTTTAGTTACTTAATTAAAGAATTATAATTAATAATAAATAAAAAAAATTAATATTAATATTAATAATTTATAATTAATAGTTAATAATAATATATTATTTATAATTATAATAAAATAATTATTAATTATAAAATTTCCGATGCATATCAATGTGATACATATGAAATAATATTTGATAAAATATTCAAACTTATACCGATGCATATCAATGTGATACATATGAAATAATATTCGATAAAATATTCAAACTTATTACGCGAAAATCTTCAAACGAAGCTTCAATATTCGAAGGAACTTTTTACGTATTATTTGTTTCAGTTATCTTCTTTATATTCTTATTATCTATTACTTTACATCATATTCGATTTATATAACGATTAAATATATAAAATATGCTCTGTGTAAATCCTTCCCTGCCGGCGAATAGAAATTTATCCTGGCAATATCGCTTGCTTAAAGTTAGCTCATTTCCTTTGTCGGCTTCCGACTTTACAAAAATTGATTGACTACATCCTAAAACCATATTCTTAACTAAAACACAACTAAATATTATATTATTTCAAACGAAATTAATTATCTATTATAAATTGTTAAAAAAAAACATGATTTTAAGTCATAATCTTCATTAAATTGTCAAATTATAAATAAATATCGCAAAAACATACGCAAAATGCTCATCGTACTATTCGTTTTGCTGCTCTCAGGCATCATATTCGCACATTATCGCACGTTATCGCGCATGTTATCGCTTCGTCACATCCGCTAAAAATATCGCTCTAGAATAAACATTACGAACTTCACATAACCTTTGATTGGAAAATCATAAAAAAATTAAAATTTTTAAAAACAATCAGTTGTAATTCTATTTATATACATTAATTAAATTTCAGAAAATTACGGGAAAATATATATTCATTTTATTTATTACTCTAGCAATAATGTCAATCGATTTTATTTTGCTATAAAATTTTAAAGACTTAGCAGCAATATGCAATAAAATTATAACAATATGAGTAATTATATAAATTTATTTTATCAATGAGAAAAATATATGTATATACATTATATTTGTAAATATATGTATATACATATTACCTTACATATTTATTATATAATTATATAATTATTCATATAACTACTTATATATATTTTTTCTGAAATACATAAATTTGAGATTAAACTAATCATAATTTTTTTAAATATAATAATTATTATCATTGAATAAAAATAGATAAAAAATCCGTAACAAGAAAAAGCCATTTATCAAAATATCTTTAAAATATGTTATGCAACTGTCCTAACAATTTTTAATGTCAAAGCTACTTCTAACTTTCTCTATTCCTATTAATATTGTTCTGTTTTTAAAAATTTAAATTTTTAATTAAAATTATTAATTTAATTCAGAAATTCTTGAAATTTTCCAAATATATAATCAGACATTAGCTATTGTAGAATTATATTTGAGTATCTATTTTAATGTAATTTTATTAAATCATAAACGTTTATAATAAACATTTAGTATCAAATTATATTTAAATATATATGTAAAAATATATTAAATTATATATGTAAAAATATATTTAAATTGTATATGTATGTATGTATATATATATATATATATATATATATATATATTATATATATATATATATATATATTTATTAATATAAATATAATTATTTTCTATACTTTTGTTTAATTATTCAGCCTGTCAATTATTATTTTTAACGTTTCAGATTTATTCAATTCCGACAAATGAATTTGCAAACATGGATGTTTATGATAGTACATATAACTTATGCTCGTAAGTTCCATTGGATCGATATAGAATTAAATCGATATGGATTGTTTGTATGAGTCTCAAATTTTTCTGATAGAGCACGTTGTGAGAGAAAGTGCTATCAAACACGGATTATGCAACGGTTATAAGCCTGGCGAGGACGATCTACAAACCTTTGACTTCATCAGCAAGTTGCAATTGGATCTGCTGAATGCTCGTTATAGCGGCATGACGAAAGTCCGAGGCAGCAGTCGTATGCAAACGGCATATCGGTTGGAGAAAGATACTGATGTCACCCTTCCGACGAAGTATTCAAATTAACTCACGTAGAAATAGCAGCATAATCAGCATCTTTAAAGGCTGATGATTCGAGTATTTGAACTAAATCAAAATAAATCGTTTATCCTAACTATCCTAACTTAACGAATTATATATGTATATGTGTGTATAATTATATACAACTATGTATGTATTATATATGTATGGGTGTGTATGTTTGTGTAAAGTATCATTTCTGCAATTTCCGTCAATCTCTCTCTCACAATTGACAATTGATTATTTGATCTATTATCATCTTCTACACTATTTCAAAATATTGATTAGCAAAATACCAAGCAATATATATATTTTTTATATTTGAGTTTTTTTTCAGGAATATTACACCTACTGGACTTCCAGAGGAATTTTCTTTGGTATATACATTGAGAGCTAGAAAATCACCAAAATATGCTTGGCATATCATTAAGATCGTAGACGCAAGAGGTGAAGCTCAATTTCTCATCACAATGAATCCTAAGAAACAGACGTTGGATTTTTCACTGATTAATGACGAAGGAAAATTACAAACAGTCTCTTTCGTGAATGATCGCGTGAGTGTATTGGGGAGTTAGGTTTATCATTGTTCTAAAATAATTCATATCACGCATTGTTGTATATGTAACGATTCCATATTCTTAAAATTAAAGAAACACTTGATATTGCTAAAGAAATAGAGCAATAAAAAAAAATCATAGAGAATTGTTTGAGTTATAAATTTTCGATAACTCTAGTTACATGCAAAACACACATAACAATTATTAAAATTATGTTTTCTTCAACGAAAACAAAATGTGTTGGTAAAGTATTAAATTAAAAATTATATTCCTGAATCAAGGATTTTAAAATTAAACTTTTCCGAAAGTAATTGCATTTGGAAAATATACACCATCACGAATCCCATTGAGTGACTCGCTCTTAAAAGTATCGTTCAGAGAGAAAGAAAGAGAGGGAGAAGAGGGGGATAGAAATCTAAAACAATTTAATCAATCAAGTTTTATCGTGTTGTGAACACAGAATCATCACGTCATCAAGCTAGCGCATGAGATACGTGACGAACTTTATAAAAATGAACGCGTTAATTATATTGTCGTGCTTATATGCTGCAGATGTACAATTCGCGATGAGCCGTATCTTGCGCAAAATATCACTTGAGAAATTCTCATCGTTAAAAATCACGCAAATGGCAGAAAAAGATTGCGTTATACAATTGATGAATCAATAAAACTCGATGCGCTCCGAGTCCTTTGATCGATAAAAATATCGCTATTGTAGGCACTTAATATGTGTTGAATAGCGTGCATTCATGCGATGAAATTTCGAGGTCTGATTTAGAATTAAAACTTATTTATTCCGCTCCTTCCTAGATCATAATTGTTTTTTATTAAATAAGTTTAAGTGAAAACATAATTACAACTTGCGTCATTTGATAGTAACATTAAAAAGATATATATATACTTTTTTTTAATAGATTAAAACTTATTTATTCCGCTCCTTCCTAGATCATAATTATTTTTTATTAAATAAGTTTAAGTGGAAACATAATTACAACTTGCGTCATTTGATAGTAACGTTAAAAAGATATATATATATATATATATACTTTTTTTTAATAGATATTCGACAAGAGTTGGCACAAAATAAATTTCGGAGTATTCAAGGATAAATTAGTACTTAAAGTTGATTGCGAATACATTGGTACGGAAGAACTAAAACCACGCAGATCAATTAATGTGGATGGAGACATATCGATAGCCAAAATGAATAACAGTAAAGTCACTGTACCGGTAAGTTTTGTTAACATCTCTAGATGCATTTGTGAAGCTTGATTAATATAGTAATTTGATGCACTATTTAATATAGCAATTTGATTCTATTGCCATAAAGATATTTTAATAAATTTCGATACAACTATAATTTAAAGATGAGCTTGCATGTATACATATCTAACATCTACAAATTACATCGCTATTATGTCATTGCGAGGAATGCCCATCTTTCAGAGCTAACGTCACAATTAAGTAGCCTGTTACTTAATTAATAACAGCTTACGCAGAACGAGGCTAAAATTGTCAGTAGGACAAGAACTGAATTTAATATTAGACTCTCTGGCCCACATTTAGAATGATGCACATATAATAATGTCAGCATCTTAACAAATAAAGATATCATCATATATAAAAAGTACGTAACGAAAAGAAAAAAAGAAATATATATATATGAAATAATAATTTCCTTTACTAATACAATATATTTAAAGTTATAATCAAAAAATTAATAAAACATTAGATATAACATTCCAAGATTGAATATCTATCCGCACTACCGTTAGATCGACATGCAATGGATGATCCTAAACTGCGATCCTGCGAGACTAGAGAGAGAAACATGCGAGGAATTACCGGTAGATATATTTTAACAAGATTTTACAATTTCGCAAAATTTGATTATATAATATTAACTTGTTTGTAGAAAAACTTAGCCGCTTCACTTCAAATGAAACCTCCTTGCGAAAGAGTCTGCCTACAAGGATTCAATAATACAAATACAAATGTAAGTTTCCTCCAAATTTATATCTATTAAATATTTATCAAACCACGAAAAGAAGTTTGTTTTTAGTATCGAAAATAAAATATAAATTAGAATATTTATATGAGATCATTAATAAACTCATATGAGTTTAATATACAATATAACTTTTTCAATTAAATATCACATTAGTTAAAATCTCACTTTCGCGATTATCTAATCATGTTTAAAATCGTTGAAAAAGAAATTTTATATCTCTCAGGGATCCCGCCATCAACACAACTTTCCCGGAGTACCAGGAATTGGTGTATCAGGCTTACCTGGACCGCCAGGAGAACAAGGAAAAACGGTATATTATTATTATTTACATACATATGCTTGACTATATTCTATCATAAATATAGTCAAGCATATGTATGTATGAGGCTTATAAGAGATATACGTCGTCAGGGAGCCCCTGGTAATACTGGTGCCAGAGGTTTTCCAGGATTGCAAGGCCCCAAAGGATCGATCGGATCTATGGGGCCACCGGGTTTACCAGGATTACCAGGACGAAAAGGTGATCGTGGAGAAAGGGTATGTATTTTTACTTTTAATTTTATAATGAGAAAAAAAAGGGAAAGAAAAGGAGGATCTGACTTAGAAAAAATTTTTTATAATAAGAATAGAGCGACAAGAAAGTGAAATTTTTGATAGGGTGATATGGGGTTTCCGGGTTTGAAAGGAGATCAAGGTCCTCGAGGATTTCCGGGTTCACCAGGAAATACCAATTTATCACGCTTGATAGGTCCTCCGGGAGAAAAAGGAGTTAAAGGTGAACGAGGAAATGACGGTGCTCAAGGACAACCGGGTGAGAAAGGTACGACATGTTATTGTAAGAGAAACTGAAAAGAGAACATCATATTAAGCATTCAATTGAAATAGATTAAATGCACTCGTACAACATTGAACGATATAATCCGATCTTAGAAATCACAGTAAGATTTATTTAATCATATAATTTTGTGAAAAAAATGATGAAATATAAAAATATTACAAAACAAATGCTTGATTAAAATATGTGATCACCATTATATTACAATACCTAAATCAATTAGTTATCTAATCTGAATACCAAAATGAATGTAACAACTTTACAATGTAACGCTCCATGTATATGTATTTATTCATGATATTAATTTATTTTTAAGGAGTGCACATATATTCAATCAATTGTTCAAAGCTGATAAATTAATAAATGATAAGATGGCAACTTTTCTTGTTGATATTAATTCGAATTGTCTATGTTTCATGTTTATGATTTTTTCATTAATATTTTTAAGAGTGGATTGTATTGCGCAAATTGTAAAATGTCATGATTCTAATAGCGACTATTAAACGATTCAGACGATACATGAGGCGACATATTCCATGTATCGACGTTGACCCAGATACGTTCATTCGCAATCATTGTAAATCAATTTATCGCAATTCGTAGCAATGTTCGTATAAATTGTGATTACATTCGATTATACGTAACTCAAGAATCAAAATTAATTGAGCACAATAAGAAAAAAAGTTTTATTACTAAAATAGTTTTTAAGATATATTTATTTATACAGTACGCGAAATATATATTTAGTACTAAATATATGCTTGACTCGTGTGAAAATATTAACAAAAATATTTTTGACGTTAATTGTCACGTAAAAAATTGAACAATATTTTAGGTGAACTTGGAGACAAGGGATTAGACGGAATTCGCGGTCATGACGGCGCACCAGGTCCTCCCGGCCCTCCGGGAATTCCTGGTTTCCCTGGACCCGCAGGAAACGTTGTATTTACAGATGTTCCTAGTATTCCAGGACCACCAGGCCCTCCTGGTCCAACAGGACCGCCGGGACCATCAGGTCCTCCAGGATTACCAGGATTATCAGGGCCTCCTGGTTCACCAGGCCAAAGAGGTCCGAAGGGTGATATCGGAGAACGTGGACGAGATGGTTTGCAATTAATTTATCGGAGATTGAATAAAAGAATTGTACACGAATAATAAAATTCTTTCTTTCATTTTATATTTCATTTATAAATATTATAATAATTTAAAATATTTATTTTTATTTTTCAAGGCATACTCGGATTGACGGATAATAATATAATACCGGGACCACCTGGTCCTGAAGGACCTGTTGGTCCTCCTGGCGAAGATGGTCTTCCCGGTGAGAAAGGAGAAGTCGGATCAATAGGTTTTCCAGGACCACCCGGAGAAATAGGAAAAGATGGACTTCCAGGATTACCAGGACTGCAGGTATTTTATTATTTTGTTTATATATATTATTAATTTTTTGTTACGTAAAATAATGCAGTCTTTCATGAATATTCACTCTCATGAACATCACTGCGATAAGGGATCTCCAGGCTCACGTGGAGAACCAGGTTCCCCAGGATTGCGAGGTTTAGAAGGAGTCGCAGGAAAACCGGGACCGCCAGGATTCGATGGAAAATCAGGTCCAAAAGGCAGCAAGGGACAACAAGGTGAACAAGGTCCTATCGGATCTCGTGGCCTACCAGGAAGTTTGGTAAAAATGATCAAAACGAATCTTGTACAACAGTAATCAAAAATACAATTCATTTCTCAATCATTTATTGAGATATTTCCACCTTTACTTCTAACATTTATAACAGCTATTCAATCTTCTGTTCATAAAATTAAAAGAAATATTTGCTATTTTCTTTAGCTTTTCGTAAAATTTTATTGCAATCTTCTTTATCTGATTATTTAAAAAGTATGATTTTTCGTCATTATCATGTCATTATGCATAGTATTTTAGATCGTCGATATAACATAACAATAAACACAATAACACAATAGTGGAGATTAATAATATTAGCTTTTCACTAATTTTTGCTGTACTTATTGAGTAGTGGCTTAGGTAATTGCGGAATTTTGCGAAACATAAAAATTAATTTATATATTTTTAGGGTTTAATGGGCCCGCCGGGTATACCAGGCATACCAGGATTGGAAGGAAAACCTGGTTTATCCGGGCCACCAGGTCCGCCAGGACCTCCAGGATCTCCTGGTCCTTCAATTCCAAACAATAACTTTGATAGCATTGGTAATCCCGGTGTCCAGGGACCTAGAGGTCCATCGGGCTCTCCAGGAGTAGTAAGTATTTTGTCTAGAATCAAGCCTAACCTCCCAGATTCGATTAATTAAAGATAAAAGAACTTAAATCAGAATAAATTAGCCAGGTGAAAGGGGAGCCCCTGGGGAACGAGGACCAGAGGGTCAAGTAGGTCCGCCTGGAATACCCGGCAAAGACGGAGCACCTGGATTGCAAGGATTACCTGGAAATAGAGGTCAAATGGGATCACCAGGACTTCAAGGTCTGCCGGGCCACAGTATTAGCGAAGCGGAAATTCGTGATATTTGCGCCAGCGTACTAAGAGGTGATTTTTATTTGTCGTTAAAAATTATTGTTTATTGCAGTTGTTGTAAATATTAATTAAAATTTACTGAAGTTTAAATGATCCTTCGATTATCAATTCCTTTCGTTCTTGTTTTAAAAGTAGAATCATTTAAACTTTGGTTAACTTTAATTGAAATAATTTTATCTCAACTATCTCAGGTATCTATATCCTTCACGCGTAAGTCAAAAATTTGCGATGACATCACATACTCAGTAATATGTACTCCACGAATTATGTTGTAATAGTTTTTCTTATTATTACCTACGTACATACAGAACAGATGACCGAAATAGCAGCACTCATGCAGGGCCCACCTGGTCCGCCCGGTCGAAATCGTCCGGGCCGTCCTGGATTACCTGGTCCTCAAGGTCGTCCAGGTATATGATCCAGTCAGGGTTACCAATCCTTTACGCTTATCACTTACCTATGACACAATATTAATCGCATTAAAAATCAGCTACGTAGATTTTCTTGTTAGTTTATAGATAAAACTTGGACATAATAAGTGGAACGCTAGGATCCTAACTCGAGAAGGAACATTTGGCAAGCAACAACGAATATCGCTGTCATAGCTGTAACATTCATTTAAAAGCTTGAAGTATATCATAATTGTCGCATTATTGTCTTCATATAGAACTATAGCACATGTGAATGATGTGATTCATTATACGATGCACTTAACAATATCGATGATTCGATATCGACGGATTAATGTCGTCCTTACACCTATAAAAATAATTATATCCTGGCATGTGTCATAGAGAGGCTCAAAGAATTAACAGAAGGTCTACGAGGACTACCCGGGCTGCCGGGGCCGGCTCGACACGGCCGTCCCGGTCGAGTCGGAAAACATGGCATTCCAGGTATCTACCGCTCGAAATAACGCATCCTGGAATGTCTGGAAAGTAGTCCATTTGAAAAAACTTTCACTGTACGCATGCGAAAAATTTGAGTAATTTAACTAATAATTTCATAACAGTTATAATGCTTTAACGTATTTTAAAACAAGTTTATTTTTTAAAGCAATGTATACTTTATGCAATGTATACTTTATGCATTTTTAAAGCAATGTATACTTTATGCATCATTTATATATATATATTTATATATAAATTCTTTTTTTTTATTTTACATTTTATTGTTCTTTCATCTTTGATTTTTATTTTCGGTTTTTTTATCATAATACACAATTATATTAAACCGTCTTATAAAAAAAGATAGAAAGATGTGGATATATCCTACAAGTAAAAATTAATGCACGACACATTTTTTTCAAGTGTATATGTTTATCACTTCCCAAAATTTCTTGATTTTAATTAATTCCATTTTCAATCGTATTTAGGTGATCCGGGCTCACCTGGTTTGCCGGGAGAACGTGGATTCGTCGGTTTACCGGGTCCACAGGGTCCCATTGGACCACAGGGGCCATCTGGAGAACGTGGAGAAAAAGGGGATAAAGGTCTCGAGGGAGTCGGTTCAGAAGGTCCACCTGGTCCGATAGGTCCTCCTGGTAAAACAGCATTATCATTAGCAATAAAAGATTACAACTTTTTTGTTTAATGGCTGCAAAATAATATTTCTATTGCTTTCTTCTTACTGTTATAACATTTTTTTTATAACAGGGCCACCTGGTATCGACGGCATTGGTTTACCTGGAAGACAAGGTGACAAAGGCGAGCGAGGCAGACCAGGTAGAAGAATTTAATAAGCTTAAAATAAAATTTTTTTAATTAGTTTACAAAATAATTAAAACTTTCATTAATGATATTTTCATAATAATGTATGTAATCACTTTACATATAATAGATTCTATAATATATATTCTATAATATATATTCTATAATATATATTTTATAATATATTTTAAATAATTATAATAATTATATTTTAAATAATTATAATATATATTTTATAATATATTTTAAATAATATATTTTAAAACTCTTATTAATGATATTTTCATAATAATGTATGTAATCACTTTACGTATAATATATTCTATGCGATTTACAGGTATTCCCGGTGTCGGAGGAGCGCCAGGAGCACAAGGACCACCCGGATTTTGCGAATTCTGTAATTATCCTAGCAGCAATTATCTACACTACACTCGCGGCAACGAGAAAGGTCCTTGATCAATAACGAATATCGTGAGGAAAGAAAATTTTAACGCAGAAAGCGGAAAAAAGTAATATAAGTAAGATAATTCGATATTTTTAATACAAGTATTTAAATTATAGTTAACCTAAATTGTTGTCCAATCTGCGCATAGATCCCTTTATAAATCACTGCCACGATATAACGATCATTTTTCTTTTAATTACGATTAAGTGATGATCGCAACATCGACTACGATGTATGTATATATACGTATGTACCATTTAATAAAAAACTTATTTTTGATACGCACGATTTACCTCGATTGCGAATTCCCGAGGGAAATTTCGAAGTTGTCCCGCGCATCGCTGCGGTCCGATTCACCGTTCTCGCATTCACGGTGGCGGCGGCGTCGTCGGCGCCCCCAACGGGTCGCCGAGAATCAGCGGTGGCGGTGGCCAGTGATGGCCGCGGAATTCGCGACGTGTGTCAGCTCGGGGATCGACGGACGTGAACGGACGGGCTTGTTTATCGCGACGTTGTCTCGGCGAACGTCATCTCGGCCACGTACGTTCCGAGAACTCGACGAGCGTTGCTCGTACAAGACCCCGTTCGCGCGCGTGTCCCGAGCGTACATCGACCTGCCCGGGAAGCGAGACGTACGTGTCACGCACGACGAAAACTGTTCCCGTGACCGACAACAGTTCTCTCGCGCGAGTCCCCGTCCGGGCTAATCGCGTGCCGCGAGATTAATCGCTCGAACGATTACTATCCCGACTCGTTTCGTCTGGCGATTCAATGGCGAGGTGGGAGCGATAAGAGGGTACGAGGGAGACCTTCGACGAAGACGGAACGACGACTCCACGCCCCCGTCCGTACCCTTTTTTTCTCGCTCGAGACACGCGCGCAGCGAGCGCCTCAGGTAGGTGGAGGTAGACGGACGAGTGAGAGTCGACTGGTAGAACAGGTTAGGTGCCTGTATACTTTCATAAAGCTATTCTGTATGATTGCAAGTCTGCATTTTTGCCTTTAGTTTTTTCCCGTAGATATTTGCCATTTTTTTTCCTAAGCATTGGAGTGTATATTCGTCAAAATTTTTTCTTTGTATAAAGAAAATTAATGCGACTAAAGAGAATTTTAAGCGAATCTGATTGTAACAAATATCATCGATGTAATGGGTTTATGATAAGTGAAAAAAAAAGTGCGATAATAAAATTAATTAAAATTTGGCAGGATTTTTTTGTTCACTATTTTGAGCTACTTAAAACTGCATTTCAAATATTTGTCCTGCAATATCGATCCAAAATATTAAGAAAATATTGAAAATGAATTGATTCTGAAAATTTGAATAAAATATTTTATAAAATAATGTATAATTATAATTTGAATAAATATAATTTTAATAATTATAATTTGAGTAAAATATTTTCGTTTCTACCTATTCCAAATTCATGTAGATGCATACGCTTTAATTTACGCCAGATTTAGAAATTATGTTAATTGACGATTTCATAAATATTGAATTATTAATGATTAACCAAATGGCAAAAAAATTGTTTATCGATGCTATTTAATTTTAAAATCGATTGGAAAAATTAAGCGCATTTGTGACTAATACGAAAAGAAAGTCAAATTAAACGAATTAAATCAAAAGATAGATTCTTTATACCAAATGCTGCACTGATATAAGAAACGAAAATATTGATATTTATTGACGTTGATTGATATCTATTTGATACTAAATCTCGATATGCAAACTGTGCATCTTTATAAGCTGATTATATATACCGTAATTAGATGACAAAATTAATTGTCGAGAAGATGCTATGCTAGAAGAAATCTTCAAATACTTTTTTAAACTGCGCATGCGCGTACTTATAAAATTATCCCGCGTAAATCGCATATGGAAATTTCTGGTCTATTCTTTTTGAGTTGCATCACATGTTATACGTACTTTCTGTCTGAAAATAAAATAAATACATATTCGATAGAGATTTGAAGAGTAAGAACAAAGTACAAAAAGATAATGAAAGAACAGACGAGAGAATGCTGTGATACAATTCCAAAGCTCGTTAAAAGTTTTATGTCACCAATTAAACATATGGTTAACGGATATATATATAAACAAAGTTTACATAAAAGTACTTCAATATACATTACATATATCGATGTCGAATGAAATTGCATTGGTTTCGTTTGCCACGAGCGTTGTCGAGAGCGTTTCGATTTATTCCAAATCAGCCACGATCAAAATTTCTTCTAACGAGAAATGAAATTGGCCGCGCCTTTTAGTCGCCCCATTTCCTGCGTTCCTTCAAATACACCTGGCGTTCCTTTCCCGACCGTTCCTACTGTTTCTTTGACCGATCTTACGTTCCCCCACCTGGCTCACTTATCGTATTGATTCAAACTTAGGCATCCGCGTTTAGTCCCCTCATTCCGTTGAACCTATCAGCCGATATTACCTCATTGCTTCCTGATCAGTCTATTCCGTTGCAATCTCGATCAATTATTAAGAACGATTAAACAATACGACACTCGATGTTATATTTCGAGAAAATGGAGTGTATTATTAGTACTCCAGTTTATTTTCCTGTAATCTGTTAAAGAGTATACATGAAAATGTTAAATGTAAACAATGATATATTACATTAATATAATAAACAATTTTAATTAAATAAACAATTATTTCTCTAAAAAAGGATTTCAAACGTTTAGATATTTTGGTTATTGAAAATTGAAAAAAAAATTATTTTTTTTATTATTAAAATTATTTCATGAGTAAGAAGTTATTATTTTGCCTGAAAATTAATTTCAATTAATAATATTGTAAAGATTGAACTATCTTGAATAAGTTTTTGAGATTCGTATATTGGTTAATTTAAAGTGTCAATTGCAAGCGATATAAGAAAGAGTAAGAAATTAGTGACCGAAAAAAAATAAACCCCCTTGAGTGATGAACAGTCGGGTTTAAATCAATTACATCTTCGGATATCGACGTTTACTAACTAGGTCAATCGTATAAAGCGGATTACGCTGTCACAGTTGAACGATCTTGAATTAACCTTTTTCCGAAAGTATAATTTTCACAAAAATCCAATTCTATAAAAAAATTGCAATAGAAGAGAATATATTAAAGAACTCACGTGCCAAAAAATACTGTAAACATCAAAATCACAAGCAAAATAAATAATGACATATCTAATGATCTCTAATTTTGTTTTTAATATTACAATATAATTTTCAAATATTTTAAAAAGAAAAAATATCAATTGCCTACTTTTTAAACATTCTAATGAAAATGATGTATAAAAAATTTCACCACTTTATTAATATGTTGGATCATTTTATTATTGAAGAATTAAAATTGCTTATTATCAATTTAATTGGATCATAGATAAAGATAGTCATAATTAGCGAGTACATATAAACAGTTAATATAAATATTTGAGAGATATAAAAAGCACTCTGTATGTACATATATCTTTTGTATTTTAAAAATATTTTTATGAAAAATATTTTAGTTTTCAATTCTGCACATATACACCTCCGAACAAAGTCCGGAAAATTTCCATTCGTTAATATATCACACCAAATCGTGGTTGTTTTCATAAGATGAATACATTGCATATATACTCTAATCATTACTAATTAGTTTTCTCTCCATCCTTCAACTGATGACAAGAGTTTCATTCTCGTGTTCACCATGATGCATGACGTTCTTTACCAGATGAATTAAGAACGCAGCTTCGTTAGTTGCTATACATATTATATGGAGTACTCCAATTAAGATAAAATTGTCGTTTGAAATGATTGAAATTAAAAGAAGAAAATTTAAGTGATATTAGGGCTGTGTTGTGTTTATATCTGCATGATGCTGCTAAAAAATGCGATTAATTTCAACAAGTAAAAGCTATTATTATTCTAGCAGGAGGCACATAATAACATCTCGTTTTGTTTATCTCCCTTAAAATGTTGGCGCAAAATTGTTCGTTTCACAGAACATTTGTTGAAAAATGCATGATATAATTGGCTGTCATCTACTATTTATTATTCGATTTTCGCTTATCTTTATACAATGCGTAAATTTACCACTTCTTTAAAAAGAAATGATCTCAAATCAATCTCAAGTATAAGATTATATTGTTCGTTATGAAACAATATTCGGTATGAATGAAAGAAAAAAAGATTTAACATAGAAATACATTAATTAAAATATAATTACAATATAATAATTAATTAAAATATAAATACATCATTCGTTCATTTTTCGCAGTGAAAATGGCAGAAGAAGGCGCGGGTGGATCAGGAAATGGGAGTAGTGGCGAGACGAGTCGTTTGCAGCTTCTACAGGAGATGCGACAACAAAACTTTGATACCATTCGATTTGCATCATATCGTACTGCCTGCAAGCTAAGATTTATACAGAAAAAAGTGCATCGTAAGTATACACAATAGACGTAAGTAGTGAGAATTAGTCTGTTTATCAGTCTCACACACACGCGCGCGCGCGCGCGCGTACACTTTAGAATTATTAACTATGAAATGTTAATTTTCTCATAGCTTCTCTATACTAATGTCCAACTATACTAATACATCTAATTAGAAGTCTTTTAACGTCATCAGAATTTAAAAAAATGAAATATTCATACTCATATTAATTAATCTTATCAAAAATATTAAAAGATAAAATGTTAAATACCTAATAAATGTTAAATACCTTTGTAATGATCGATGCATAATTGTATACAGTGCACAACGTCGACATATGGAACGTGATTGAAGCATTTCGAGAGAATGGTCTGAATACGTTAGAGCCGTCGAGCACACTAGGAGTATCCAGACTCGAAACACTACTGTCTTCCTTGTTTCATGCGTTGAACAAGAGGGTCCCGGTGTCACAACAATCCAAAGTCGACGCAACTACAGCGTTGCTAATGAACTGGCTATTGGCTGCTTATACTAGCGGGTATACTTATGAAAATACTTAATGATACTTAATGATACTTAATGATTTTCTTATTAATTTTTATGAAGGTTCTTGGTCTTTTGCAGTCATATTGAATAAAATGAAAAATTATGTGAATTTTTTATGTAAAATGGCATATGTTAGATAAATCAATATATTTCATTATATTTAAAAAAAATACATTATTTTCTCGCTTCTGGCGTTATTGTTTGATATCTGATTAAATCATATTTATTTTATTTTTTTTTTCAGAGAAAATAATAAAATATCTGTATTCTCCGTGAAAGTAGCCCTCGCCACATTATGCGCGGGAAAACTCATGGATAAATTTCGATGTAAGTCGCAAATAATTTCTTTAATTTCTTAATCGATCACTGAACAAATTTATTAACGAATTTTTTTTTTAGATATATATTCGCAAATATCTGACAGTAATGGACACATGATACACTGGAGGTTCGCCGATTATCTGAAAGAAGTTTTAGCTTTAACCG